CGTAGTACGGAACTTAGCTGGTTCAACTTTATAGTTATAATATTGTTATTAACTAATATAATTTGATACTGTTTTATTAATACTCTGTACTTGTTAACTATGAAACTAGAACTGAAGTTGGGATTTCAGTTTAAATTAGCGGTTAACCTTACTTAATGCTTCCGAAGCAATTGCTCCTAGTAGTAGAATGCAACATTTGTAAATAGATCCGTGGTTAGCGAAGGAATGTTAAGTATTTGTTGTGTAATGCGATTAGTATGTGACCTACCGACTTTGATGATGAAATGGCATCCAATATGCATCAGGTTTTCCTTCGAACCCGTGGTGTACTGAACCATGTAAAATAGGTCACTCGTATCCGCTGACATGAACAGAATATTTAACAGGCAAAAACTTATATTGTTAGCGAAACCTTTATCTTTATGACATGTATGAACAATAAAATCTTAAAAAATAAATTCGATTTATTTAATTGATTTCTTTTATATTACTTAAAGTGACGATTGAAAGTAGAAGAAACGAAACCCTTAGGGAAGAGTGAATATGGTGATTGGTTGGCAGTTTAAAGTGCAAAAGTTACAAAGTTTGTCAAACACAATTTGAAATGTTGGAATGGTTGGGATGTATAGGACCTTGTGGGATTCGACTTTGCCTACTAACTAGGACGATCTAGTTGTTATAAACTCTCGAATTCTGAATGAAATGAAGAATCTTGAAATTACTTTAGGCCTAAAACTGCTTTTGGGTATGCGTGATACGTGTTAGGATGATTGGTTGTTTTGTATAAATATTTTTTAAGACTAAGTTTTCGATAACTAATCCAAGATATTTTATAGTTGTTAAAATTCATGTAATAGCATTTACTTCTTGTGCTTTGTTAGTTTTTATTTATTGATTACTAATACATAGTTTGTCAATGCTGTGATAATAAAAAATAAATTTGTGGATTTCAGCTCTTGTATTGGATAACATTTCCTTTAAATAGAAAGGTTGTTTTAAGATCTCATAACTTAAATAAATAATTCTTTTGATATAATGTTATTTAAATAAAATATAACAGTTAAAATCGCGTAATATTCAACTATATATATTTCTTTAAAAATGAAACAAATGGAAACAGAATAAAAATAAAAAATAATGTAATTTTAATTACCAAAAACGTTGCATGAACGCGTTTTAAGCGCTTATTTAGAACGATGAGTTCGCAAGATATTTAGTACAAATAAATCATGTCAAATTTAAAACGTGATCAATCTTCCATGTACGAGAGGAAATCCAAAAAGTCTTTGTATGCCCACACGATAATAAATCGCTTCATTTAACGTTTTTCTCATTGTAACATAGCATTGAATTTATAGTATTATATTCTTTATACATTAATAAGTCTGGCCATAAACAACCTTTTTTTATTACAAATCTTTCCATAAGTGCTGTTACATACAATATTTTTTTTTCATCTTTTTAAAATGCCACTTTGAAAATACGATAATTACTAATAATTTTCATATTATTCTGAGTTTTTTATTGTAATTAATAAATGCGTGAATAAAATTATTATTTATCGTGGCAGCATGCAAGTCAATACTATTGTGATCCAGTATGACACGTTGGCTATACATTATATGAAACATAACGTAAGGAAAATGTAAATTTGTTGCCCGAAATGTAAAAAACAACATTCAAATGTTAGAAAATTGTATAGTATATGTATCTATATACTGTATTATCATATCAAAAATCAACACAATCGTCTATATTGAGGCTGAATCAATTAAAAAGGGTACTTTCTTAATTTTATCTATTTAATAAAACGAATAAAAAAATATAAAATAACACACTTTTCGACTTAGTAATTTATTAAGAACTGTTTTTTAACACTATAAATATTCTCCGTAACAATATATTATATTTAGTTACGCTTACATAAAAAAAAGTTTATAAATCGATGGGAAGAAAGTTACTATGTATTTCATATAAATTTCGTATCCATTCCCATATATATTTAATGGTAAGCAACAAAGAAACAAAATAAAAATAAATGGTTAACCAATTTTAAATCTTGTCGCCTTGTGAACGTGAGAACGGAATGTAGATAATTTTGTAAGTTTAACATGTCTAAGAAAACCTTGAATTCAACGAGATATCCCTGTCGTAATCGTCCGTAACAGAACTCCTTATATAATGCATTCGCCGCATTCAAAACTAAATAAAACAAAAAAGAATTTTGTCCTAAGAAAATAGGAGTTTAAAATCAATTGTTGTATAGAAAAAATGGCATAAAATTTTCTTCAAGCTTATCTGTATTTTGGAGTGATCTCATTTCGACACTGATATTTTTAGCAAATAACAATAGAATATCTATTTCATAAATTGACACTATTTCGATCTCATCACATTTATGCCTGAGAATGTATGGAATCGTTCCCGCCTTTGTGTCGAATATATATGAAATGTATCAGCGTAGTTTGCCCACTTAAGATAAAGTCTAAATATTTCACTAACAATACATCTTAAATAATTAGATGAATTAAAATACTCCTCCAAAATAATGTTTAAAATAATTTTCTAAATGTAAATTATATTTATCTGGTAATCACAAAAGTAAAGCCAATGAGACGTTTCATTTATTATCCTTGACTAAGCAAGGCTTTTAAAATCCCAACCTGCGAAGGCTTTGCGGGATTCTTCGTAGAAATATAACCGTCACGTGAGACGAATAAAGGTACAGAGAAAATAGACAGTTTCCATTGACATATGTTTTAAATTTTAACAGATTTTTTGAACTTATTACTAATTGAAGTTAAACTTCATATGAGACTTTCAACTAGGTTGTGTAAAATTTTTCACTCTGAGAAAGAGAGAAATAAAGATAACCCAATGAAGAAAGTAGGCGAGAGAGAAAGAGAATAAGTCGGTAGATTACAGGCACACACGTATGATATTGTTTCCATGCAGCGAAGTAAACAGTGTGACCGTCGTGAAATTTTCCGTAATATGCACTGATTGTTATATATTATTTTATTTATAATATTAATTATTTTTCAGTCTCATTTCATGCACTTATAATTTAATAGGGCTGTATTTTATTTAGAAAGTTTGTGGATAAAAATTACAATTACGAAGTATCACTTTTTGCACAGCGGGACTCCAAGCACAATTTTTTTTTTATTAACTACAATAGCTTGTTATGAATTCATGAACTTTTCAACCAGATTGTATGTTAAGTTTTTTTTTTAAATTGTAAAAATACTTTACAGTTTTCTTGAATCAAAATCATTCCCGACACTTTTTGGTATCTATTATATATTTAAAAAGGTTAAAATCTTAAGTATTGTAATGGAAACAAACTCCGTTGTTGAAATAAATACCGATATCTTATTTAAGGCTTTGTAGAAACCAAAGCGTTGTATTATACTTTGTATAATAATTCAAAGAAGCTTTAACTGCTTCTATAAAATTTTAATTTCATTCATTTCTGTTTTCATATTCATATATTAACTTTGATATAAAAGATTTGATAGCACTGAGCATAATTAAGTGCATTTTTATCTGTACATCTGATTTTAACCGTAATATTTTTACGGGTCATGAAAATCTGCAGTTATGAATAAAGGAATATACGATAAGACTATCTACACTGAAATATATTGATCGTAGAATCTATTACCTCTAAAGGTTGTCTACATAATAATTCTTATATAATATAGCTATTGTATTTTTTTCTGTCAAAAAATAATTTATTAAAAATAAAATTTGGTTTTTAATTTGGTTTAATATTCAAAGAATGAGATAAAATTCAAATCCAATATATTCATTTCACTAAAATGGAATTAAACTTGTATATTCCACTTATAATGACTTCATATGTATTTTTTATTGAAACGTATTTTAAAAGATTTTTTTTTATGGGAAAAGGGGGCAATCGAGCAGACGGCCTACTTGATGATAGGTAGTTACCGTCGCCCATTGACATCTGCAACGTAGATATGCAGATGTGTTGCCGCCATTGTTTGGGGAAAATGGGGAGTAAGAGGTGGGAAAGGGAGGGAAAGGAAAGGGCAGGAAAGGGTGGGAAAAGGGAAAGGGCAACCGGCTCTCTAACTCACCAGACGAAACGCAGCCATTAAAGACTACTTCACGCCGATTTTCTGTGAGAGGGTGGTACTTCCCCGGTCGAGCCAGCCCATGTTAGAGCTATAGTAACTTGACCACAGCTAGGCTCTACCACCTCTAAGATTATTTATTTTTCAATAATGAATTATAAAGTTTTAATAGAATTAAATGTTATATAATATTAGTAATCTTATTTAGATAATTCGCTTGTAAACATGAATTGATGTAAGCATGTTTGTTACTAGTAAATAAATTAGATAAATTTTTTGGTGAAAGTTTTATATTAAACATGTATTCATTACTGGAGAAAAAAATATATATTTAAATATTTAAACTATATCTTTCTTGTGTATGTGTTTATTGTAGAACAAATGAGTTTTTTAGTTATTGTTTTATGACAATTTGAGTTTAATAATATGTATATCTGAACATATTGAGCTCAAGAACGTGGACGTCAGTAGAAAGCAATACTACTTGGATAAAAGTAATTTTAAAATAGTTGAGGGTATCTTTGTTTATTTGATCCTGAGTTAATCAACATCTCTAATTGAGTCATGGAAAATAAGATAAAACAACTCAAATAATTCTGCATAACGATTTAAACAAGTGACCCTAATTTCAATTTCCTTTAAACAATGCGCTCTAAAGTGAATCGATTTATAAGAAAATTCAAGGGAATATTAAATACCTATAAGGTTAAAGAAATAAAAAGTATCCTTAAATATTGTCATAAAACATGCATGGAACTAATTTTCATATTTAAAAACCTTAAAATTACATGAAAAATAATATAGAAATTGACTTTTTTAAACTTACAACCTGTTATAAATATCGTTTTAAATAAAATTTAGAATCAATAGTATAAAGTATATTAAAATTTATTCCAGGTCCAAATGAAGAGAAATATGACAAGAATTTAACGGACGTAAGAAGAGAAATAGCGACAAGAATACAAAACGTCGTCATCAATAATCAAAGTCTAGTAAAGGTTTGTAAATAATATATTCATTTGTTTACATACATCATGACTTTTTTTGAGCAATAAACAAAACAAAAAAGGAAGATAGATAAGACTAGTATGAAATAAAGAATAAGAATATCGGTAAAATGATACTTTGACATTATAAAAGGTTTTGGACTAACTTAGATTGAAACAGAATTAAATTTCATTCCTAATAAACGTAGAAAAATTACTAAAACTAGTAGGCTTGTATTTTGTAAGTACATATGTATATGCAAGTTATTTTAAGATAATGTAACACACACACACACACACACATCATTACTGGTACAAATACATAGGTATGAAACAATTAATAGTATTCTATTATTGCAGCATAACCAAGATTTTTTATCGTTCATCGAAGAAGACCTGGCTGCATATGAGGAGAGCTTCAAAGAGTATCTGAAACATGTTAATAATAACGATACAAAAAAGAAGACTTGGGGCTTTTGGAACGCTATGTTCTACGCGGGGACAATTTATACAACAATCGGTAAATACATTTCATCTCCTTATTTAAATTGTAAGCAAATTTTAATGATTTTAAAACAAAATATTATCATCGTAAACGATTTTGGTAATATAATTTCATCCGACAAAGAAATTATTCTTCGAATTACCACCGAAACTTTTTAATTAGTATAATACGAACCGTAAACATAATGTTATACCAAAATTACACATTTTCCTTGTCTGTAAACTTTGTAACAAGACATTTAATTAATATGAACAACAAACCCGAAGTAAGACTACACGCGTTATCGAAATAAGAAAACATTTTTAGGAAATATTAAGGATTTGGTTAATTAAAGAATTAATTATTATTACAAAAGAGATTTCTTTCTTGTTCCATTTGATCAATGATACAGATACTTATATAATTTTAATTTACAGCTACAACAAATATACTTATTAGGTACATTTTTTATTATATAAATGTATTGTTACTTTCAACTTTAGTTATAGGTCTTTCCTATATGGGTGAATTTATGCAGGTAAGTGCACTTCGTATAGAAATACTACTTTGACTTTTGATTGCTATAAATTATATCAAAAAAGGAAGCCAGTTTATATTAAGTGTTCACATACTTAAATCATTATTAAAAATAATACATATTAGATGTAAGTTTTGAGATCATTGATATAAAGCAATCAGCTTTTGTAGATCAAAGAATATTAAGAACGAATTCTATAAAGTCTTATACAAAAATGAATTTAAAAACTCTTAAGCCTTTGGATTTTATCGTATTGATTCTTTAAGATAGTCTTCAAGATATTTTCACTTTGCAATCAGAGTTTGAAAGAAAGTTCACAGATTAAATAACTTTTATTATCTTGATTTTATATTGGGTGAAAAAAATATATAATAATATTTCTTACTTGGTAAATTTTTATTACGATTTTAGTAAAAGAATATTTGAATATTTAAGATAGCGTTGAAAAGGACTTGTAAATTTGTGACTATACGAGTACATATATGAATATATTATGTAGGTTTTTGTAAGAAAAACAAGTTTAACCTACAGTTTGCTACAGAGAGACATTTAATGTTATTATTAACTATGTAAATATTTTGTTTTTATCGTAATTGATAGGTCATTAATTTATTTTGGCATAACCTCAAGATTTTCAAGTTCGGAACACATGATTAGAAAGATTGAATTATAATTAAAATAATACTTTTAAAATGTATTTATTAAATATTTCTATGACATTTGTTAATTATTTCCACTTTTATAGAGAGTATTAATAAACGTGAGTATAAATATATTTCTTAGCAAGAAAAATAGTACAATTGCAACAAAAATAAAATAAATAATCAATGAGAAGGTTAAAATCTTTAGAATTATTATTAGAAAAACACGAAAATACATTGAAAGGAAAATTAAGAAAGCATGGGTTCGTTGGTTATTTTTTTTAATATAAATTATATATTTCCAGCTTCGTTGCTTGCATAGTAAATACATTTGAGATACGCGTTATCACCTTTATGAGGTTTTATTTGATTTCCCGAAGATATCTTCAGCAAATTCCGATTTGGTGAAAATGGGACTACCAACTCAAGGAACCTTTTGAGTATCAATTTATTATTGTTGAAAGAGTAAAAAAACATATTGAGAATTTCGTCCTTTGATGTCGGTTATGAAGTAGTCTAAGGCACTTCTTAAGAATTTACTCAACTTTGAATGAGCATGCGGTCAAAATTAGCGTAGCCGTTACAGATATTAGAGGGAACAAAGAGACAGACAGACAAAATATTTTTGAATTTATTTTTGGTATATGAAACTTGATACTGCTTTTCATGAAAATCTGTTTATTTGAATTTACAGACATTCCAATTTAATTTATTAGTAATATAGTAATACTACTGTTTTAACGCCTGACAGAAAAACAAAGCAATAACTATGAATTTGAATAGCGTTTCAAATAGTTTTAGGAGTCGTTTTAATTGGTACTATTTCTTACAATATGAGTATATTCATATCAAGTGTTTAGTGGAGGATTGTTTTTCTCATACTCGTATAAAATTATCAAACACAAAGAATTCTTTTGTCTTCAAAGTAATGACAGCTCCATAATCCTTTAAAGTTTCTAAAAAGATTTTTAAATCCTACATTTCTTATTTCTTCAAACATTTTGTTTGCTTTTAAAGTTTGCAACATGGTTTAAATCTTTTAAAGAAAAATAACCCAGTGATTTTATTTTCCATTTTCAAAATAGGTGTTTCAACAATTTTATTAAGTTGTTTTTACATACAAGAAAATATTATATACTAAAAAAGTAATGTTGTAAAGCTGTATTATTTTTTGAAGGTATCATTACAACATGTTAATAAGTGTTTTTGATACTTATGGTATCAATTGTTTCCATCAAAAATGTATTCTGATAAAATGTTTTTCGGAACATAATTCAACAATACCTATATTTTGGTTTCTCTTCATCTAATCTTAACTAAACTTTTATATTTTTAACCAGCACACATGCATATTGAATGTTGATATAGTTGTTTTATTTCTGGAACATTGCCCGGCAAACATTGGCGCACTTGAGCACAGTCTTCACGCAATCTAAACGTAAAAAGGTGAAATTCTGTCTTTTAGACATCCCTATTAAATATTTTGAAACGTGTTATATTCAAAGGTAAAAGTGTTATTGGGAAGTGAGATAAAAATAACGTTAGATTATATCTGAAGTGTGTCTGTTATTCAAGAAGTGAAAGGCTAAAAATAGAATCTCTCAATAGGAATCCGGCGACACCAATGTGAAAAAGACATTTTCATGCGACCTTTGAAGATGGTGAGTTTTTTTTTGTTATATTAATTAAATTTCTGTTCTCGGCCTAGATTGTCATCAGAAAATATTGGCAACACAAAAATGATATATTGCCAAGTATTTAATAAGAACATAATATTATAATATCGACACTAGTGCACAGTAAGATCAGTATCCTTTAAATATTCTCTGAACATAGTGCTTCTTCTTTTTTCAGATCCACTTTACTTTGTTGTGGGATGAGTGAGAAAGATTTGGGATCTGATGATACTTATAGGAAAAGTATTCCTGTTATAAAAACTGAAAGTGAAACACAAACAAGTAACAAAGTTCGTTTGAAATCTCCAGTCCAGCAAAAAATGGAAGGTGACCTCAATTCTTCATCAATAAGAAAAAGACGCAATTTGTCCAAAAACAGAGGACAGATGATGAGGCAAAGAGAAAAGACTCCTGAACCTTCTCGAACAGCAGTTCCTCATGAAGATACTACATCTGAAGATGAAGACATACAGCCGCAACGCACATCAAGAGAAATAGAAGCCGACAATACGTATGAAGAAATGAAACGCTTAGTTCAAGAACAAGCTAATGTCAAAGATCCTGTATACGATTTAGACACAGATGAAATCCTAGAAGCTCGTACTATAGCAGCAAGTGAAAGAAGACGCAGAAGTATTTCACCATTTGCTCTTCCTGACAAGGAAGAACCAAATACGTTAGAACGAAAAGGAAGTTTTATTGATCCTGGGAACAAATTATTGAGCACTACATACTGTTTAAGCCCGAAAGACGATGGTCCTAATAGAAGAAATTCATTAACTTTGGAGTCATTAGAGGCCAACCCTTCAAGAAACTCTTTATCACCACCAACTTCTCCAAAAGATAACCAGAATATTCAAGTATTTCCTTCACCGACTAAACAATTAGAAGAAATTGTTTATCCTGACGAAATCAAAGAAACATCAGAAAAAATTAAAAGCCCTCCCAAGAAAAAGGACTCAACAATTGAAGAAAAAAAACCTAAGTCTACTTCAAAGTCTATCAAAAATAATGAACAACCATCTGCACCTGGAGAACTTGTAACGAAAGTAATACAAGTTGAAAGAACTCCAAGTAAAAAACTTGCACAAGAACAAAAACCTGTAGTTGAAATAAGAGAAAGAATTGTCAGGACTCCTAGTAGGAAAACATCTACTGATTCTAAACCAAACGTAACGAAACAAGTGCCAGTTAAAGTTACAAGTGAAACCCAGAGTAAAGTTCCACCCGTAAAACCAGCTCGAAGTAAATCAACTTCCAGATTTGCGGTCAGTTCACGTTTGACATTGCTTATCTCATTTCTTATTTTATTAAATATAGGACTATATTTTTATTTCTTTTAAGAACACATATTATCGTGAAGAACTATATTGGCATAATGTCATGTCATGTCTATTTAATTAAGATTCGTTGCGTCAGAAGAGAATACTAATTAGTTATTAATAATAATATTTCCAGAGTAAAACTAGTGAAAGTGAAATGAGTGAAGACCAAACGCAACAAAATAGCGAATACTCCAGTGGAGTTAAACGAAAGGTAGTACCGACACCACGACGTTTTATGAAAAATCGATCTCCTAGAGCGAATCGTTCGCAGTCTGTTACTAGAATAGAAAATACGAATATATTTGACAAAACCGCAACCGGCGTGAGTCAAACTAGTCAAGAAATAATGGAACTTATGCAAAAAGCCAGAGCTCGTAGTTTGTCTATTCCTAAGGATGATCCAAAATTACCAATTGAGTATAAAAAATATAGCAAAATTTTACAAACTCCTAATAAAACCCCTGTTAATCTTAGACAGACAAGAGGAATATCGTGTCCAAAAACTATACAAATTATTAGTGATCGTGAAATTTTATCTGGATTGACAGCTAAACCAAAACAAAGTCGTACAATAGAAAAACACAGCAGACAAAGTTCAGGATATGTCGATGCAAGTCAGTCAGAATATACCTCCAGTTGTTATTCTTCGTCTCCGAGTGAAAATGAATATGATTTTGATTTACTTGAGCGATCTGCAGAATTGACTCGTAAACTTAAACTTTTAAGTAAGGAAGCAGACGTTGAAGACAGTAAAAATAATTTTAAATTAATCCAGGATATAAAAGAAGACGTTGACATTGGTATAAAGTCTTCATTGCGTAAACGATCTTTAGCTGATCAAATTGTAAAACAGTCTAAGGCTACAGATAAAATAGAGAGTCATAAAAAAGAATTAAATAAACCTTCTACAAACGTTAAAGATAAGAAAGTTAAGTATTCTCGATGGAAACTATTAGCAAATTGGCAACAATTTAAAGAAGAATATGAAAAAGAATATAAGCAAATTATTCTGTTAAGAAATAAATGCATTTGTAATCTAATACTATTAATAATGTTGTGTGGTTTAGGCGGAATTATGTTTAAAACTTTAGAAGGATCTTTTGAAAACGCGTATAAATGTAGCTCCAGAAATGTTAAACGTGACTTCATTGAAAGTCTATGGAAAGGTAGTCATTACTTAAGAGAGGAAGATTGGAAGTCATTGGCAAGAAAAAAGTTATATGAATTCGAGGATCAGTTACATACAGCCCACGAAGCTGGCGTGACATCTTACAGTGGTCAAAGATCTTGGAACTTTATGAACTCATTTGTCTATTGTTTGACCCTCGTAACTACTATAGGTAAGATCTAAACGAAAGTTTGTAACAAAATAAAGTGGTGGTGATGAAAACTAGAATTTTATTTATTCTCCTTCTAGTTTATGACTATTGATATTACGAAACCTAATATTAATTGAGTTCTTTTTTTAGGTTATGGGCATATAGCTCCAAAAACAACAAACGGACGCGTGGCAACAATAGTGTACGCTATTATAGGCATACCACTGTTCTTGATAGTATTGGCTGATTTTGGAAAGCTATTTACAAGGATAATCAAATTTTTCTGGTCCTTTATTCGTCGATTTTACTACACAAGAAGTTGTAGACGCGTTAGAAGAACAATTCCTGTACAGGTATATTGCTTTATATAGTATAATTTTGAGTTTAATATTAATAATTATTAATATTATAATATTTTAAAAGTTTACTTCATTAAATTAAAACCTTATTAATTCACGAAATATTATTTATTATAATTATAATTGAAGATATGAAATGTGGTAGAAAATATTATTTTCTAATTGTAAATCGATTTCAAAGAATTTTGCATATTCTGGTTATCATAAGGAAATACGATTCAAATAACTGTTTTGCAAAAGGAAACAAAGCCCGCGTTTCCTTTTACATCGGATATTGATAATGATGTCGCTTGGGGCCGTATGTTTCCTTATATTGTCATTATTTTCATTCAAAAATATAATGTGTTACTACATAGTTATTAGTTACTAAGATTGTTTAAAAAGTGTAAATTTCTTTTCCAGGAAGTGATGAAAGGCCTGAATATTGTATATGACGTTGTACGAAGACCTTCACAAATATTTTCTGAAGAAGATGTGGATGGAGTTTCCGAGAGTCAACATCCACCACCGGTTGTAAGAAAAGCTAGTGATGTGCCACCGCCCTTACCACCAAAACCTGGTAGCAAGAATGACTTTGAAATCGACACCGAACCAGACACGCCAGCCCCATCTGTGTTTGAAATAGATGACGAATTTAATCTTCCTATATCAGTAGCTATATTTATTTTGGTAGTTTATATTATAATTGGTGCTGTAGGGTATAATTGTTGGGAAAGTTGGAGCTTTTTTGAGTCATTTTACTTCGTTTTCATATCAATGTCAACTATTGGTTTAGGAGACCTGGTACCGGATCATCCAATGTTTATGATGGCGTCAATATTATACCTTGTTTTTGGTTTAGCGTTGACCTCTATGTGTATCAATGTTGTTCAAGTGAAACTATCTGATACCTTCAAACAGGCGAGTGCTAAACTCGGAGCTACTATAGGACTTAAAGTAGCTGAAGAAGATGGCAGTTTAGTGCCAATAACGCCACCTCCTATTGAAAATGTACCGGTTCATAAACCAAAAATTGACGAAGAATCAAAAAGAAACGAAACCAAAGATGATGAAGCCAAAACCAGGTGAAGTTGTGAAAAATGGTTGTTATATGTGATGTGTGATTAATGTTATAAGTGATTTTGATTATTTTTACAATGTAGATGATAGATGATGCTATATACAAAACTTTATATAGATGTTTGTTAACGTGTGTGTAAATAAAGATTTTTATGGTTTTATTTTATTTATTACATTAAATGTATTATTTATTTATCTTCCTATTTGTTACCTAAGTATTGAAGCCTTTCTTAAATCTATTTGAACGTTGTGTAAAGCTGTGAAATAGAATGTTCTGAATAGATCTGCATCACTCAATTCAAGAGACTTAGATCTAGAGACTTGATATTTACAGAACCAGTAAAGGTGATGCAAGAAGTCAAATAATTCGAAAAATGTATTTTACACTACAAAATTTTCCTAAATCTCTATAGCTTTCGTAGAAAAAAACATTGAATATTTACCTATACTATACAAATATCAGAGAAAATATTTTTTAAATAACACTCACATCACACTTCAAGCTTGGGTTGAGGGAATAAGATTCAATCAAAGATTTTACTGTTTTCCCGAACTGTTTACCTTATTCGAGTTGCAGTTTACTGAATCCTATTAACTCGATAAAACTACACTGGTTTTATTTAAACATTTATACTACCCAGGATTTCTAAGTTTAAAGCAAAAATAATTCAAACTAACTTTAACGAAACCGATTGTTTAATTTATAGAAACAAAAATGTATGGACTTATTTATAAAACTTCTGTTTTTCGAAGCGTAAAAACACGGAAAAAGGTGATCTTTTTGAGAAATATCTCTTTTGTTTAGAATTCCTTATTGAATGTAGCCAAGGCTAATATTATATTTAAAAATTAAAAGTAAAATTGAAAATTAAAAGCTGTCGAAAAAATAATCTAATCCGAACGTGGCTTTACTGATGTTTGCATTACTAAGCTCGTTTTGAATAAGGCTCCTTGCATAACGCGAATTTTTTAATTATCAGTAACACCTAACTATTATGACAAATTTTCTACAAATACCAAAATTACTTTCTTTTAAAGTTGTATTTATTTCTGCTTATATATTTTTATGCTATTTTGTAATGTTTTGAAATGCTTTGCTGATAAAAAGGATCGTTTGTAAGGCACCTAAGCGAGGAAAATACTTTCCCTGTTTAAAATATCCTTTTTATTCTTGTCGTTGTCACGTTTCATCGCTTCTTTTAGGTATTAAAAATGATCGATTATTTCCTTAATTTTTTAAAAAATACTTTATAAAATCCATTTTTACTGTGTTTTTTATTACTCAAAGATGACTTATAAAAAAGTACTAATTAATTAATTACTTTCACTTCATGGGTAAACCTCATTTTAAAAAAAAAAATTTAGTTGAGTCTAAAAAGTAGTTTTATCGTCAGCTCCTTTGAAGTGTATAAATTTCCATGTTTTGGAACTTTTTACAAGACTGTGACAAACTTGAGTGGAAAACTTTGAAAGAGGGTTTATATTCCCAATACATTGGTTCTATAACACTTCGTCTATATGTTATATATCTCAAATCTTTAAAGGAAATTTCTGTAATCCAGGAGCAAAATTGTTGTCAAAGCAGTTCTTTTTTGTGTGCAAACTGAAATTGCTTCGAAAAGAAGAAAAAATCTTCCTTTCTTTAAAATTATATATACTTTTCCAAATTGTCGACAGAACAGTGATACAATACATAATAATATAAAACATAGTTTACCGACTACTAGGGATTAACATTTTTTTTTGGTAATGTATTTTCAATTTAAGATTAAATATTTTAGTGGAAAATTGGTGATATGAAATACAATCGAAACACGAATAATAAATGTTGTATTCCGTTCCAATATAGCTTTTTATATTTTATAATATTTCTAAGGCGTATTAATATCATTTAATATAAGGTCTGTACATAAGAAATATGTGTAAATTCTTATCTTAATATTTGGTTTAAAAACTTTAACGATATTGTGGGTGGTCGTAATTGAATTGTTAATAATACTGATGAAATATTGTTAAGCCCAGTTGAGAACGAGGCAGCGGTGTTTTAAATATTTATGACTGAAAATCTTTTGCAATTTTTAATGCAAAGGATTTTTGCTGGGAACGGTGAGAATTTATGTTTTACATTCTTTATGAACTTATCTTCAAATATAATGCAGATGTATTATTTATTAAAGTTATTTTGAATTTCTTACACTGGAACCAATCGGATAGAACATATCTCTTATGAGATCATATATATCTGATTAACTAGTACAGAGTCAGGTTATTGTGTATTTTTTCCTTATATATGCTTACCATGTACCGAATGTTTGTACGAAGGGTCATTGATCCTAGAGCCTAATATATTAGAGATCAATTCTTGCAGCTGCGGGCAGTTCTATATCAAATAAAACTCACTGTGTGAATAGCTATTTAAATATTTAGCTTAAGAAGAAAGACGTGATACATTTTATTAAGCCGTCAATCTTATGTATTCACTATTGACTATAGTATAACAACAGTTCTGCCGTAGTTACAGATCATATTAATTATTTAATGATTTCATTTACTTAAGCTAATGAGATTTGATAAGAAATCATAATAATATGTTATATCATTTGATGGCCGGAAACACTCCAGCTCTATTTAATAAAAATCTTCAAATAATTTATTTCATGAGGCCAAGTTCTGACATCTAAATGTAATATCTTATTTTTTTTTATCGTTTTGCCTAACTGACTTCGTAATATGAATTCAGGAACTCCTAACGCTCGGAGTATATATATATATATATATATATATATATATAGGTGCAACATGAAGTCAAAAGGCTAAAACAGGCATATATTTTACTGTTTAAAAGTTTGAGTTATCACAAAATGGTCCGCTTCATTAAAAATTCATTTTTAATCCTGTGCTTATTATATATATGTAGATTCAAATCTATGGATACTGTAAAGGTTTATTTTTATATCAATTTGCTTCCTTAGGGAATATCTTTTTCTTTTCCTTAACTTGTCTACGATTACTATAAATTAATATTTCAACCCAGGGTTAGTGAGAAATACCATAATTAAACATTCTAATTTTAAAATTCATAATTTTCTTCTTAATTTTTTCAGGTATTCAATTTTTCAGTTATTAGGTTTTCTTATGATTATTTTGTGATAAAAATCTATAAATTAATATATCTTGACAGCAAAATTTGAGGTACAATCTACATAATAAAAAAATACAATTTAAAATTGAAGTATTAGATAGAAAGTAATGTGTGGTGAAACTTAACCATCTTTAAGTAAACACTGAATCATCTATTTATTTATGCTTTTTTTCATACCTTTATTATAAATAAAAGATATCAAAGTCGGATTAAATCGTACAAGAACTCGAAGTTAAATATAAAAAAATGCGTGACAAATTAATAACCTCCTTCGTTTTTTCGCATGTTAACAAGTTAACAAATTATAACATTTTCGAGCGATGAAAGTGCTTAAAGAGAATATTAAACTTACTCGATGTAACAGTATGTGATGTAAAAGAATTATAAGTGTGGCAAGTAATCCTATTATAATGTGTGAGAGTAGTCAAATCTATTATTGCAAACAAATGAAATATTTCTTTTTAATTCGATTAATAATCTAACTAAAATGTAATGTAAATATTCTAAGTTTTTGTGTTGCCTACGCGTTGCCAATCTTAATTTGTTATAACAGCGTTTTATTCCTATTTACCGTTTATAAAATTGAATAATATCACTCACAAGTTAACAAAACGTCTAATCTGTAAAGTCTGTTAAATTAAAATGCCCTTATTTGAATAATTTTAATATTAATGCTAATTTCATCAAGAACTCGTTAAAGTTTTAAAACACAATTTGAGAATAAAGGGCATAGCTAAGATAAAATTATCCAATAAAACATAGTTTCTATAGAATTTTCATTAAAATTTGTACTCAATTCTTGCTATTATATTGTAAAATAGGTCATATTTTATCACTAAATTATTTTGCGTCTTTCATTACATGTTGTTATTATTTTTAACAACATAATTATAACAGAAATTGTTAGTTAATATTTTACAAAATTTAATGAGTATGGGAATATCTTATAAGTGTACTGTATGTGTAGAAATGCGGTTTAAATATGCTAAATATTCAAGGCAGTGTTATTAAAAAATATGAGAATCCTTTTTCTATAATAACAAGAGTATTTGATATAGAAATATTTTTAAAAATACTGTGATATAAACTTGATTACATTGATTATTAACTGCAACATTATTAGGGAGAAAAATATTTATTTAATAATTTCTATTTTTTACTTTGTAAATATTCCTTATACCGCTTGTGTTTAGTTAATATTTATATAAAATTTATCATTTAATGAGTATAAGTTATTTAATGAGTACAAGTTGTAGAACGACTTCAGTTGAAATATATTATATCTCATACAATATGAATATATACGAATATACAAGTAACTCTGTTTTGTTAGAGAGAGTAATATTTACCAACCGCCTATTGCCAAGGAACAATTAAATGTAAATCAAATTAATATGAAATTGGTACAATTGTACGGGTTTGTGAAATTACTTCATATTATACATTTACTACAAATAGACTAATATTTAGATATGAACTGCCTTTATTTCACCTTGTGAATTATTTTACTGTACAAAACGTAAAAGTAAAGTATATTTACATATATATCAATAATTATATGTTTTCTTTACTAAAACTGAGAGAAAAATTAATAATTGAATTGTTATAAAATTTGTTAAAAATAGTCCGGCATTTTCCGGGTATGTGTAATTTTATAATTTGTAGTTGATAAAGCTCTGCTAACACTCTACAGGGTGACTGGTGAATTACTATCGATACTTGAGGACGTGATATTTGACGATCTTATATGACAAAATAAAAATTAATATAACATAAATATTAATAAACTTCTAAGTAAAGTTAACCAAAAGTTATGTAATTAATTACGCATCGTGTGAACACCCTACAGATTAGGTATACACACACACACACACGCGTGCGGCGGCGTGGTGTTGTATCAGCACGCCGCCGCACGCGTCCACACTTGGAACACTTGGAACGTGTC